CACACACACACACACACACACACACACACCAGTCCAAGCAATGTTGAGTGGGTGCGCATCTCATTCATCCTCACCACAACCCGATGGTTATGTTGCTCACGTTATGACTGGAGACACTGAGAGGCTCAGTCACACAGTCACAGAGCAGAAGTGGGACCGCACCCCGGGTGCTAGCCCCAAACACTCAGGTGGAGCCCTACCTCTCAGAACTCACCCCGACCCCAGGACAGGGCTCCTTGTGCCTGGCCTGGAGCTCACAGTGGCTATTTCTGCAGGGCCGAGTGCATCCAGAGGGGGGTGTCCCCATCACAGGCACAGGGGCTGGGCTCCAACCTGGTCACAGAGGTGCGTGTCTACAACTGGTTTGCCAATCGGCGCAAGGAAGAAGCCTTTCGGCACAAGCTGGCCATGGACACATACAGCGGGCCGCCATCGGGGCCAGGCCCGGGCCCGGCACTGCCCGCCCACAGCTCCCCTGGCCTGCCCCCATCTGCCCTCTCCCCCAGCAAGGTCCACGGTGAGTGCTCTGTGGGCAGGGGGTTGGGACCGTGGGTGGAGGGAAAGGGGGGTAGGTGGGAGAGTTGGGGAGCACCGCCCCAGTGGCAAAAGTTACCCAAACCTCTTAGCACTTCTGTTTGGTTCCACTCCACTTTATTTACACTATTCTATCCACTCTATTACTCTCCCCTCCACTGACCACAACACTCCATTCACTCTGAGTTGGGTTCACTTCAATTCATTCATTTCAGACCAAGTAAACTCAATTCATTTCAGGTCAATTCTACTGTTTATTATAATCCAGTTTGTTCATTTAGATTTGGTGCTGTTTAATCCAATCCAATTGCCAATCAACTCAGTTTAATTAATATAATTCAAGGAAATTCAGTTAATTTTGTATGGCTCAGTTCGATTCAATCCAAATCAATTTGATTCAATTCAATTAAACTCAAGCTCAATGTATTTCAGGTTCAGTTCAACTAGATTCAGTTTCATTAAACTAATTCCAATTATTTCTATTCAACTCAGTTTGCTGCAGTTTATTAGCTTCAGTTCGGTTTCTTTCAGTGGTTTTATTGAGCACCTACTGCATGTCGGGATAGCACTGGGCAGGGGGCATGGAGCTAATGAAATGCAGCCCTGTGTTCAGGAGTTGGAAGCAGCCAGCACCGAGCCTGGTAGGAGGCGCACATGCCAGCCCAGTTTGCTGGCTGCATAAAGAAAGATGGGGCGAGTGGCCTAAGCCAGCCAACGAGGCCCCTGGAGGGCAGGAACGTGGGGTGCTGAGGCTGCACACTGCTCCCACTCCAGGTGTGCGCTACGGACAACCTGCAACCAGTGAGGGGGCGGAAGTGCCCTCGAGCAGCGGCAGCTCCTTGGTCACAGTGTCCACACCCTTGCACCAAGTGTCCCCCACAGGCCTGGAGCCCAGTCACAGCCTGCTGAGCACTGAAGCCAAGCTGGTGAGTGTCTCCCCCCACCACCCCCCCACCCCGGTAGGTGAGACCCTGCCAACCCCATCTTCCCTTGGTTGGGAAAAGCAGTCCTCACTCAGCTTGGTTTCCCCTCCAAGGTCTCCGCAGCTGGGGGGCCTCTGCCCCCGGTCAGCACCCTGACAGCACTGCACAGCTTGGAGCAGACCTCCCCAGGCCTCAGCCAGCAGCCCCAGAACCTCATCATGGCCTCGCTTCCCGGGGTCATGACCATCGGGCCTGGGGAGCCTGCCTCGCTGGGCTCTACGTTCACCAACACAGGCGCCTCCACACTGGTCATTGGTAAGCTGGCGGGGTGGGGGCACAGAGCCCGAGAGCCGGAAGAGCCTCTGGGACCATTCGCTCACTCATCACTCACTGCCTGCTCTGTGCCAGGCTG